TGAGAACATCTCGGCTGCAGTGAAGAGGGGTCAAAAGGAATGAACCTACGTTCCTGGCAACCCTCTGCATTGAAGATATAGAATGCTCCTCGGGTCCCATTCCTGAACCCGTGAAGGAGTTAGTACTGGAGTTTGAAGATGTCATGCCACAAGACATGCCAAAGCGGCTCCCGCCTAGGCGCACCGTAGACCATGAAATTGAGTTGGTGCCGGGCGCGAAGCCACCTGCCGGGCGCCTTACAGAATGTCACAACCCGATTTCACCGAGCTTCGAAGACAATTGACGGAAATGCTAGATACAGGGATCATTGTACCCTCCAAGTCCCGATATGGGTCCCCTGTTCTATTCCAAAAGAAACATGATGGCAGCCTGCTACTCTGTGTGAATTATCGAGCTCTAAACAAAATCACCGTGAAGAACAAGTACCCTATTCCTCTAACGGCAGACTTGTTTGATAGACTGGGTGGCGCGACGGTGTTCACTAAGATAGATCTTGAAGACAGGTTATTAGCAAGTTCGGATTGCAGAGGGTGATGAACACAAGACAACCTGTGTGACAAGATATGGGTCGTACGACTTCCTGGTCATGTCGTTCGGCTTGACCAATGCCCCAGCTACATTTTGCACTCTCATGAACCAAGTCTTCCGAGAGTACATCGACGAATTTGTGGTGGTCTACTTAGATGACATTGTGGTATATAGCCAGACATTGGAAGAACACCTAGTGCACTTGCGGAAGGTCCTAGCTCGATTGCGGGAGCATGAACTATATGCAAAGTTATCAAGTGCTCCTTTGCTCAGAAGCAAATTGACTTCCTCGGACATGTCATCGAGGAAGGACGCATCAAGATGGACCAACAGAAAATTCAGGCCATCACAGATTGGCCGCCGCCTAAGGATGTCCACGCCTTGAGGGCGTTCCTTGGCCTATGCAACTTCTACCGGCGGTTTGTGAAGAACTACTCCCTCATCGCAGTGCCATTGACAGAACTCCTCAAAAAGGTCACACCTTGGGATTGGGGACCAAGGAGAGCAGAGGCCTTCAACGCATTAAAAGCGGCTATGTCTAGTAGTCCCGTCTTGGCCCTTCCTGATTTGGCCAAGCCGTTCGAGGTACAAACAGATGCATCTGACTATGCCCTCGGCGGAGTCCTGCTACAAGAAGGGCACCCTGTAGCGTACGAGAGTCGGAAGCTGAAGGATGCAGAGCGGCGCTATGCCGCCCATGAGAAAGAATTATTGGCTGTCGTCCACTGCTTGCGCCTCTGGAGGAACTATCTGCTGGGAACCCCGTTCGTGGTCAAGACAGACAACACAGCTGTTAGCCATTTCATGACCTAGCCGAAGCTGAAAGGTCGACAGGCCAGGTGGCAGGAACTCCTAGCTGAATTCCACTTCAACTTGGAGTATCGCAGTGGAAAGACCAATCATGTTGCTGATGCGCTCAGTCGGAGAGCTGATCTAGCATCGGTGTGCCTACTCGCCACCCTAAGGGGGAGCGAAGTAGCCACATCCATCAAGGACCAAATACGGGATCTACTCATCAAGGATCCTGATGCTCAGTATTTGGTTGATTTGGTAGGACAGGGCAAGACTCGCCAGTTCTACATGGAAGATGGTTTTCTGAAAGTAAAAGGGAACCGACTTTATGTTCCTAAAGGAGGAGATTTGCGGAGGACTCTTCTAGCGGAATGTCATGATACTCTGTGGGCCGGCCATCCCGGTGAAGAACGCACCATGGCGTTACTTCGTCGTGCCTATTATTGCCCTTAAATGGCCGATGATGTCGCTCAGTATGTGAAGACTTGTCTAGTATGCCAGAAAGACAAGTCGGATCGCTTGACACAAGCGGGACTCTTGGAACCACTCGCTGTCCCAAAGAGACCTTGGGAAAGCGTTTCCCTGGATTTCATCACCGGATTGCCCAAGGTCGAAGATCTCACAACCATCTTGGTTGTGGTGGACCGGTTTTCCAAGTATGCCACCTTTATTGCAGCCCCACAATATATATCAGCAGAAGATACAGCTCGACTCTTCTTCTCTCATGTCGTCAAATATTGGGGCCTGCCCAAAGACATTGTTAGTGACCGCGACTCACGCTTCACTAGCAACTTTTGGACCCAACTCTTCAAGTGCCTTGGGTCAAAATTGAGTCACAGCTCAAGTTTTCATCCGCAATCTGATGGCCAGACGGAGCGGTTCAATGGTATGTTGGAGGAATATCTCCGCCACTTTGTAACCGGATCGCAGAAGAATTGGGTGAAGCTTCTGGATACTGCTCAACTGTGTTTCAATTCACAAAAGAGCTCTAGTACCAACAAAAGCGCTTTTGAAATTGTTACCGGACAGCAACCGCTACTCCCACACACTGTGAATGCACCAAACATGGCTAAATCTCCTCGAGCTGCCAGCTTCTCAAAAGAGTGGAGGCGGAATTTGGAGATAGTGCAGAGCTACCTTGTCAAAGCCCAAAAGCGGATGAAGAGGCATGCTGATCAAAATCGTCGCTTTGTTGAATATCAAGAAGGAGACAAAGTGATGGTCAAAATTCCAAAGCGGTACTTATTTGCAGGGGTCCATGACCCTCGCCTATTGCAAAAATACATTGGACCCTTGTCCATTGAAAAGCGTATTGGGAAGGTTGCATACCGGGTGGATACCCCAGCTTGGTGGAAAATTCATCCTGTCTTCCATGTCAGTATCCTGAAACCTTTTCGGGAAGACACGGAGGATCCTTCAAGGAGCCAGCTCACAATACCCAGTATTCGAGGTCCCAATTCAACCGGGAAAAGGCGTGTTGAAGCTATCCTTGATGACAGAGTGATTCATGCCTCAAGGAAAGATCACCAAGAGTTTTTGGTGAAATGGCAGGGCTGTGATGCAGAAGAGAATACTTGGGAGAGGGGAACAAAACTCAAAGCCTACAAGAGCCTCATTGAAGATTATTTTGCAAGTAAGGCGCCGAGGACGTCGCCAACTCAGGTGGGGGAGAATGTCATGGGCGGCTTTCCAGCCATGCCCCATGACCCCTTGGGCGCGCCCCGTGGCGTCCTAGCAAACCTCCCAATGCCTAGCGCCACGGACGGCCCCGTGGTCTTGGCCGCGCCAAGTGACAAGCGCGCAGGTGCCTCTGTCGCCCCACCGATATCCCTCGCGAGCGCCAAGCCGCAGGCAGAAGCCAACAGCGCCGCGCGCGCAGACAATGCCGCGCGCGCAGACAGTGATGCCAAAGACACTGCTGCTGACAACGGACCCGCTGCTGCCTTATAGAAAACTAAGTCATTTTCATTGTAAATATAGAGTAGTTTTATTTCATGTACTTCCATTATGTTTCTCTAGTTTAATCAAGTCTAGTCTTGTAACTTTGGATTATTTTTTTTAAGTACTATTAGGGGGGATCAAGCAATCAAAACTTTCTAGCAAGCAAGCAATTCTCTGTACTGGTGTCTCTCCCCCTCGACACCGCGTTGCTTTTCTGTAATAGCTTTCATTAATGCAATCAAGCTTTCTTTCATTCTGAATTCTCATTTCTGTTCTCTCAATTGCTCTTGACATCGGTTTTCCCGTACGGCACTGACAATCTCGTCTAGCGTACGGAGGGGACCTCAGTTGGCGGACAGCAACTGCACTGACATCAGTTGCCTAGCCTTACGTCGCCCTTCCAAAAAATCTCAGGAAGGCGCCGCGTAACAGTTAGCATGTGTTAAAACCAGCAGTAACACTACTGAAATTATGTCCTGATATGCGACCAGAAATCAGCAGTAACATGACATTAAAAGTTGAAACCAGCAGTAACGTGACATTTACAAACCAACATTCATTGCACTAAAAGTTAAAACTAGCAGTAACATTAAACATTGACACAAAATAATTTGATTCCAGAAATAATGGACACTAGTAGTAACATGAAATATTGACACAAACAAGTTAAAACCATTACACACATCAAATCAACACTAAATAGAGCGAACATAACAAAACAACTAACAACATAAGAAAACGACTCCTAAGACAATCACTTCGCCATTGAAGCTGCAATGAAACCCAGGAAAAGTGCCGATGGAATCAAAAAAGAGGTAATTTTATCAGGTTTGGTAATGGCAGGCCTTTAATTGAGCTGAGATTATGATGGAGGGATACTTTTAAACTATTAACTAAAGCATAGGGATATATCAATACCTTTTCCCTTGATATAAATGAAGTTCTCCAAAGATATACAGTTTAACATGTAATAACTCTATTTCATCATTTTCTTCTTACGGTACACCCAAAATTAGTTGCAAAAATATAAAAGAATTGTCCAAGTCCGTTCAATGTTTGATGACCTTTAAGTTTGCTAAAAAGCCCATTCATGTGCTTTGGTTTCACCTTAAAATAATTAAAATACCCTGAAAATTTCTTTAAGGAGCAACCAATGGAGTTTAATACAAGTTTTAGAACTTAGGGTGTGTTTGGTACGAAGAAAAATAATTTCTAAAAAATATCAATTTTTTATGTTTGGTTGGCTTAAATGTCATAAAAATTATTTTTTTAATAAACTTAGTTTCCTCTAATTAGAGGAAAATGACTTCCCTACCAACAGGAGGAAAATTATTTTTCAAAATTCTTTATCATCCTTCCCTACCCCTACTGTCACCCCCCAATCCACACCCTCACCACTCTGGGCCCCTAGACCCCGACCTACCAGCTTGCACCCCGGCACCTCAACACCCCTTGCCCGCCCTTCAACCCCACGCTCCGGTCCACCTCTCCCTTCCTAGCAAACCCCTCCACCGCCACCATCACTACCACCACTACCAACCCATCCTCGGCCCTCTTTCCCCTGCCTCGTCCCACCCCTTCCCTCTTCCCCGAGTCATCAACTCCCACCACCCATCCCCCGCCCAACCTGGACTTTGCTACTGAAATGCGGAGGCCGGTGGCTAGGTGCTGGGTGTCAGGTGCCAAGCTTAGGTGACGAGGTCAAAGTCGGGGTGCGAGGTCGGGAGCCAGGGGTTAGGTGTCGAGGTTTAAGGTCCAAGTCTAGGATTATAGTATTTGCCTAAATTACATTAAAATGTCCTTGAAAAAATATTTTCCTCTCACTTACCAAACACCAAAGAAGAAATAAGAAAAAATACTTATATTTCGTGGAAAACGTTTTCCATCATACCAAACACACCCTTAGACGTACTTTGTTTCAATATTCGAGATTATATTTGCTTCTAAGAATAACTAAACGATTACATCACTTATTGTCAAAATATAACCAAAATACATAAGTCCTACCAATATGCTTTACCTTACATCTTTTTTTGTTTCCTCGTATCATACTTCCAAGAAAAACAATCGTGCAATATATTTTCTTGTCCGCATAATTAGCATGTGAACAAACTGACCCCTAAGTAGGCGTTTGGACAATATTTGGTTAAAATTTTAAGGGGAAAAAAGTACTTGAAGTTGAAAAGGATTATTTGTAAGTTAAATTTCCCATGTATAAGTAAGTAAGTAAGTCTCTTGAGTCAATTTCATTTTACCCCCTTAACCTTTGAAGGTTGGGAAAGGATACCCCTCATCTTTTGAATGGGAAAAGGAACCCTCTTGAGCAATATTTTTCAGTGAGACTTAGAATTTACTTACAAAAAAGTATTATTCACTTTTTTTTAAAGGTTTTTTTCCCTAATACAAAGTCGTCAATATTGATAATAGACCACTATGCTGTTTGTTCCTGTTAGCTAGAACTTTGGATAACTATAATGAACTTTCTGAAGTTGCTACGTGTAGTTAAGCTGCCTCTTGCTATACGTGAATATATATATATATATATATATATATATATTGCGGCCAAACGCACACGCAAGTATACGCGGTCGTCAAGTAATAAAGTGACTAAAAGTCGGATGTCGAACCCACGAGGACTTGTGATTAACTATTAACTAAATTAGACTATCCTAATTATCTAAACAAGAATTAAACCTAGAAGTATTTGGTTCTAAACTAATTAAATAAAGAATATAAATAATGAACTTTAAACAGAGGAAGAGCAGATTTTTATGATATCATTGTAATGAAAACGATCTAGGGTTATGGGCTATCTAACATTCCTATTGTATTCTTCAATTGAATTGACTAACTAATTTATCGAGTTTATTGGTTGACAGGGTTAATATTGCTCATAAGAATCTGTCGAGTTCTTACTCGTCTATTCAAGCTAACCTAACGCCTATTGTCTATGGAGTTAGAATCAACAAGAACGCATTTATAATTCCTGTAAATCAACCAAGCAAGGCAATTAGGTATATGTCTATCCTAACCGCGAATCCGTTCCCCGATGCCCAGGTTCAAGAACTTGCTCTATTCAATCCTATATGCAATCTAGAATTCCCACTTTCGAGTTCAACTCTAGATTCTTAGATAGTATTCAATTGGTGATCAAGCAATCAAATAATTAAGTGCAGGATTGAATAAATAAACCAATATGATAAACTAAGAAATCAAAATCAATATCCGAATAACAATAGTCATGAAAGAACCACAACCCTAGAACGTGAAGTTTAGCTCCACATAGACATGGTAGCAAAACAACAAATCATACAAAGAAACATAAAAAGACTAAGTTGGTG